GTGAGGAGAAATTAGATGCTGGTCACTCCTAAGGATCAAGAAGTTACAAACTGGGCTCTTATTAATGTATCTGCTGTTTTTGTTTCAAACATAAATGTTGTAATATCAGACCATGAGAATAAAATGTCCACTGAGCATAGCAAAAGAAACAAGTACAAGAGCTACCAACTAAAGCCATATCATTTGTGTTTCCTTAACTAGTTTTAAGGTGCAGATGAGTTTGGGACACTTAATGCTACAGCAAGACTTATCAGTTTGTGTATCATGGTCTTATTGCCACCTTAATAGTCTTGGTTCATCTAAATATGACATAATAATTATACTTCAAAATAAATTGGCTCAGCCATTTGACTTTTGAGAGAGACCAGCATCTAATTTCTCTTAACAATATCACTCTTGAATTAAACTTTAAGGTCACAAGAATCCCGGAAATGATCACCAACAACAGCTGTAAAGAAGCTCTTGATTGTTAAACAAATTCTCCTTGTTAGCTCCTCAGAAAATGCATAGAAATCAGTTCAGAGAATATGCATACTGATTTTGGGGTGTTAACAAACATTTAATGTTATCCACAGTGAAAGAGGGAAACTGCTCGATGCATTAATAACTGGTTCCTCACACTAACTACTGTTAAGCCTCAACCCCCCATCCACATCACCCCGTCCCCTCCCCCTTCCCCTGTTTCACCACAATCATTACCAAGGGTAATGCTGAGGAACCATGTTTTTCAAGTCTTGTGGGAATACCAAAGCTGCATAGAGGTTTGATCATGGTTCAGAGAGTGGACCTCCAGATAACATGAGAATGATAAGAAACAGTAATTCTTCTAAAGCTTTAGAGTTGATGGGCTTCCATAACCATTCCTAGCCATTTTAACAAGCACTAGTTAGTAATATGAATGATACAAATTTAGACCCTCTCAAGTTGCCAACATACAAGTCTGTAAAACAACATAATCAGCACTATTGCAGCTAAGGTAAGTAAATAGTGCTGTTCTAAATAAATTAAGACAATTTAATGAGCCTGAGAAGGGGTACTGCCTCA